CAAATGTATTCCCCTTACCTGCAACAAAAAATAAAGAACATATTTTATTAACTCCATTCAAATTTTTCTTTTCTAATTTATAATTCAATATTATTTTTTCAATTTTTTCAATGATTTCACGTGAATAAAAGGAAAATACTCTACCAATTGAGAACGAATTAAAAATTTTGCGAAAGAATTGTAGGAAAGAGGAATGATGGGAAAGTGGTGGTAGGAGGGGGTTGGATGTTGGTGGTGATAGTGGTATGTGTAACTAAACGAATGAAACGGCCAAAGGAAATACTAACGAGCACACGTGGATGCTCGTTAAGGCAAACGTTAACGAAATTTACGAAGCTACCCACCAGTAACGAATACAACTATCTCTCTCTCTCTCTCTTACACACACATACACACACACACTCTTTCTCTTTCTCTTTTTCTTTTTCTTTTTCTTTAAAATCATTAAGAATAAAATCTACGAGAAGTTTTAATCCACAATTTACCGATCAACCAAAATCAATTCGTTATCAATTAAAATTATAAAAAGAAAATAAATAAAAAAAATATTACGCATACGTATTATTTTTATTTCCGACGAAGTTTTGCTATAAAAGGACAATGTTTTTTTTAATTTTCTTTTTTATAATTGAACTTATATTTATGTATATCTTGTGTATAATTCAAATATCATCGAGCAATAAAAATTTGCTATAATTTTTCAAAATATTAATATATTATAATAAATATTTACTATTTTTTTTATTTAATGATATATTAATTATTACAAAATATTTCATATAAAATTTCATTTAATGTCAAAAAAGAATTCAAAAATTTTGCTCAAAATAATCTCTTGTTCTATTGAACGCATGTAAGTACACATAGACAAAATGTTTAACAATATATGTGCAGTATGAGTATTGAAAATAAAAAAAAGGAAACAGAAGGAAAATAAATAAATGGGTGTCATTAATGATTACGTAAATATCTTATTCATTTTTTCTTAAATACAAATGATTTTCTCGTTATTGACATTTAATTGTTGATAAATTTTGTTGTTTGTTTTTAATTTTTTCTCATTATAATTAAGCAAACACAAGTAAGAGAAAGAGAAGGGGGACAGGTGAAAGGGGTGGTGGAAGAGGAAGGGGGTTCATCATTACGCGGTTAACTAGACACTTGACAGTCGGTCTCGATTTAAGTACAACTTAAACGTTCCTGTCGGTTGATATTATTACAGGTAGTTATTTAAATGAGTTTCACAAAACGAGAAGGATAAATAGAGAGAAAAAGAGAGAGAAAGAGATTAAAATAATATAATGAGATAACGATTTACTATACTAGGTAAGAAGAATACCGTAAAATGATTGCTTTTTTCACACCATTAAAAAAAAAGTAACCAAAATTTTTCGTTCTAAAAAAAGACGGATGAAAAAAAAAATAAAAAAATTAAAAAAAAAAAAGATGATAAATTTCGAATAAAGAGGAAGCGAAAAGTAAGACTAAATTATATGCAGAAAAAAAAAGAAAAAAAAAGAAAAAAAAAGAAAAGAAGCAAATTTATACATACAAAAGTGTTGTGAATACATGTCAGAGTTTAATTTGAAATAGGCCCGCTAAATGTCCTCTTGAAAAGGTTGACAGCAACCCGTTGAAAAGCATCAGAGAAAGACACACACATACATAGAGAAAGAGTCGGTGTAAAATAGAGAGGGAAAGATGGAAATAGGATCGTGGGCTCGTTTAACTCACGTTAACTCACGCATGCGTACACGTTTATGCAGCTGCGGACTGATTTTACGAGGTGTTAACGTGCTTCTGAACGACAATATGTCATTACGATGATGGTCCTCGTAACGTCGGACGTATGTCGTGCGATGTTTACGTCAATCCTTCTCTCTCTTTCTCTCTCTCTCTACCCCCATTGAAATTCTATGTCGCTTGTATATCGAACGAAATAAGTAGAAGAGAGAAGGAAGGTAAAAAGAAAAAAAATAAGAAGGAGAGAAATAAATTGACGGAAAGTCGAATACGAGAGAACGGAGGAGCCTAATGATACCAGCAAAACATGCACTTTCCGCGATGAGTTGAGATCATTACTTTACCTTCGGGGAAAATATATACGTGCGAATTATCATTTTGTTATTTTTCTTTTTTATTTTTTTCTTATTCTTTTTATTTTTTCCCCTTGCCTTCCATATCACAGATCCCGTCTATTATCGTCAGTTTTGACAGAAAATATACTTTAAGTATATAATATAGGTATGTGTATGAATGTAAGTATTATTTACGTTTAGGTGTATCTCTATGTATTTATAGAAAATTATGTACTTTTGACGAGAGTCCTCATTTCTGAAGTATTTTTTGTATCGAAAAAATATATATATAAAGCACATGTATATTAATGTGTATTTTTTTTATTTTGGAAATTAGGTATATTCGTTTATTTATAGTTATGTGTGTATGTTTGTATTTGAAGGAAATGATGTGCTCGGATAAGTTCTTATTTCTCTCAAATATATTTTTTCAATAGAAAAAATAATTAACGTATGGATGTATGGAAATGTATAAATGAATATGCATTTATGTATAGTAAATTTATGTTCCAATGTAAATTTATGAAAAATTATATGCACAAACAGTTAGGTGTTATCCATTTTGCAAGTATTTTCGAATAGAAGAAAAAAATAATAAAAATAATGGCATACATGTACATGTGGATATGAATATGTATTTGTATTTATGAAGAATTAGGTGTATTAACAGTTACGCGTTACTCGTTTCTCATTTCTCAAATATTTTTATAGAAACAAAAAGGAATAAATTTCTATTAGTACGCCCAAGAAACATCGATATATTATTTGAAAAAAAAAAAAACAAAACGGAAAAATGTTACACAAATTTGTTATATGATTTATTAGAATCGACATTGATGTCTACTTCCGGTAATTTTCTAATTAGCAATGTAATCGTAGTTAAACAATTTACTTAAAAATAAGTAAAAAAATTATCAAGTTTTGAAAGGAGTTTTAAATTCGGGTCGTGAGTTCATTGTCCTTCCAACGAGTTTACGATTATTCACGGTATCTCTTAAACTCGTAAATTGGAAAAATGTAAATTTATGGATTTAAAATGGACTTTTAAAAAGATTGAAACAAAACAAAACAAAATTAAAAGAAAAGAATCAACATACGGACGAGTTGAGTCGTAGTAGTTAACGAGATATTTTCCAAAACGTTCTTTGAGAAAGAAATCGTGTCGAGTTAGCCGCCATTTTTCCTCGCTTGCGATGTTTTCGATAAAGCAAACCAAGAAAAAAAAATAACATGAAGTGTAGAAGGAAGAGAGAAGATAAAGGAGGGACTGCAGGACCTCCATCGGAGGATTATGATGCGGTCGCGAGTTCACCTGACTGACAATTTACGAGCTGACATTTTTTACTCGTTCAGCCCCGTATCGGCTTTAAGATCGGCCCATAATGAGCCTTAACGATCGCCTCAGGAGAAAAAGAGAAAGAGAGGGGAGAGGGAAAGAGGTGACGACGAGAAAGAAGGAAAGGGTAAGAAGGTGCGTCGAAGGTTCTCGAAGCACTCCTCACGAATCGAGGGAAAAATAAATACGTAGATTCAGGGTGTGCGTGCACGCTACCAAGAGGTAGAAAGGAACGAAATCAATATAGGTAAAGGTAAGTAGGTAGGTAGGTAGGTAGGTAGGTAGGTAGGTAGGTAGGTAAGGTAAGTACTTACCACCGATCTATCGAAAAGTATGTATGTGTTATGCGAAACTATTGCGAGCGCGCGAATGTGATCTTTATCTAACAAACGTTAATAAAGCAGCAGCAGCACCCTTTCGTGATTTTCTGCCTTCAGCGTCATCGTTTTCTTACAGACGACGAACGACGAACGACAAAAAACAACTATCCTAGATATAGATCTCTCGTTTCCGAAAGTACTGAATTTTTAACGAGATACCACCTTTTGCCACGATACTTTTTTTATGATTATATTAACGAGAGAATGAGAGAAAGAAATTAAGAGTTAGGGTTAATGAGAGGAGTGAGAACAAAAATAGCGCTAGGATAGTTAAAATGATGGAAAAGTCGATGACTGTTCGAGAGTAACGTCATTTGAATGAGAGACGGATAATAACGGGAGAGGCGAGAGAAGAAGAAAAACAAGAAGAAGAAGAAAAAGAGAAGAATGGGTGGATGAGAAAGGTGAGACGAAGAAAGGCAAACAGCATGTTCCCTAGTAGTAATCCTGTTGGGGTGGGGAGCGACAGAAGGAAGGAAAGAAGGAAGGATGAAAAGAAGAAAAGAGAGGTTTACGAAGAAAAAGAGGAAGATATCAAAAGAGAGGAGTAGGAGAAAAATAGTGGCTCGGTGTATTGGAAAGGGGAAGACAAGAAAGAAAGAGAGAGAATTAGTAGTTGCGTTGGAATGATAGTAGGTGGTACAAGAGTGTTCGAGAGGTGGAGCGAAGGGTAAGCTCAACGAATAGGGGCACTATTAGATGGAGTGGTGGGAATTGGATGAGCGTGATCAGTGCATTGTTTCGTCAATCGTCCGGTAGGTGTCGGGCAAGCGAACAAGCGAACAAGCGAACGGATGGGTTGCGTCAAAGTAGGAGTGGCCGTAGATAGACCACGCCCGGTAACGCCCATTGTCGACCCACCCGCCGTTAGGCTCAGCACAGACGCGTCGAGGCAACCAACTGGACACAAGCGGCACAGCCCGGATTGACGGCGCCGCACAACGGCTCCGTCGAAAGCACCGTCTACCAGCAACTTCTACTACGGTAGAGTTTCTCTACCTTCTCTCTCTCTCTTTCTCTCTCTCTCCCTCTCTCTCTCTTTATCTATCTCTATCTCTCTTTCTTTCTTTTTTTCTCTCTCTCTCTCTTTCTCTCTTACTGTGTTTCTCTTTCTCTCTCTCTCTCTCTCATGCTTTCTCCCTCTTTCTCTTCACACTGCTCTGTCATCGTCTCATCATCGTCCTCGTCTGCGTTCTCGTCCTCGTAGTCGTCGTCAATATCGTGTGCGTTCTCGTCGTTGTTGTTCATCGACGATTCACCAACTGGCCGGCTGTTACTTCGATGGTGTCGTCCTAGCCAACCAACCGTATGTTCGTTCGTTTATTCGTTCGTTTATTCGTTCGTTCGTTAGTTCGTTCGTTTGTTCGCTTTCCCTTCGAGACAGAAGAGTAGAGTGCGTGGTTCTACTATTTAGTCGTGTCCAAGAGCCGCGTGAGAGAAGAAGAAATCGTGCTACGTCGTTTCGAAGGAAAATACAGTGGGTGAATTGGTCTGCCACAACTACTGCTGTTACATTGACCAATGACAACAATCCCGCTGTGAACAAAGAAAAAAAAGGAAGCAAAAAACATTTTTCTTTCCTTTTCTTGGCCATATAGCTTTGTCGGGTTATCCTGAGTGACTAGAACTGTGTGAGTTTTCCTAACTGTTATTAGACATATGTTTGGGGACAAAACCATTGTTGTGTTTACCATCGATCTCTCTTCGAGCTATTCGAAGAACTTTTTCTAGAGTGGGGGAAAGGGAAAGGGAGAGATGGACAGAAGTATTCGAGCGAATACAAGACGGAGACTTAGTTGTCCGTCGGAATGGGAAAGGTCGAAGGTAGAATTTTACGCCTGAAGTAGAAAGTGTAAATGAAAATTTTATCGACGGAGAAAAGTGAAGAAATCTGAATCTTGTCGAATGGTGATCCGTATTATCAAAGTAAGTTTGCGGTAGAATATGTTTCAGGACGTACTAATGCGTTACGGATGATTGGTGCGTTAGTGACGAGAGGAAAAAGAAAAAAAAAGCAAACAGCCAACGTTGGAAATAATTATACATAAAGAGATATGAGTGTAACAAAGTTCAAATGAACGATATTGACACAAGAAAATCGTCTCGGATGAACGAGCAGGGATGTTAGACGAAATAATTGAGTCAAGTTTGATTGATCTAATTGAATAAGATCATTCATTGAAAAATGTCCAACACGAGTGTGGAATCCTCGTCGGCATTAGTGGAGGCAACGGATGTTCGAGAAATAAGGCAGAATCAATCGCGTCTCGATCAGGAAATCGACGAGATAGAGAAACGTGATCAGGATAGATGTGGCGAGAACGGGGATAGTGATTGCGAGAGTGACACGAGCGAGGTGCTCAGCGTCGGCAGCGAGCCAACACCGGCTAGCGTAGTTGGTGTTAGAGTTTGTACCGGTACGAAATACGGTGATCAAGAGTCTGCGAGCAGTCGAGGTGAATTTAGAGAGGAAGAAAATACGAGGATATCAGCGACGCCGTCACCCTCGAGCTCGACCAGTTGCAACGACAGTTATTATCATCGAACTTCCAGCGGTGGCGGTGGTGCACACGTTTCAGCACCGAGCCCTTTGGCTTACAGTCAAGCACCGTCATCGCCGACGGCTTCCTCAGTCAGGTCACCTGCATCTTCTTCCGCCACAGCATCCTCTCCTGGTCGACCAGAAACTTCGGGACAAGAACCGATACTACCCAGGTATCAGGTAACCGGTGGTGGCGGTCACCAACATCTCCTACCTCGATATGCCTCCAGGGAAACTGAAATTCCGGATTATCCGAGTCGCGTTCAGCACGGATTAACTCACGAGATTGTTTATCCAAGCGTAGAAAGACTACATCGTACACCGATAAGCGTTCCTCTGGTTACCAGGTTATCCTTATCACCACCGTCGGCCATGACGGTAAGCGGACTTCAAGTTACTACGCCGACGATCCTACATCCGAGTGCATGTAGAGACCCTCGAGAAACAACTAACTCTCTGATGCCGCATCCTGTTCAGCATTTACATCATCATCCAAGCGCTCACAGTCACTTGCATCAAAGCTCTCAGGTACAACACGTGCCGGCTAACGCCTCGGTCCATCAGCATCAACATCATCGATTATCCGTCAATAAGATACTCCAAAGAGACGAGTCTTCATCGCCGACGGCAAGTGCAAGGGGCCCCGATGAAAATGGTCGAACCGTGACTTCTTCGAATGGTGTTCAAAATAATGCAAACGGGAATCATCACAATAACCACAACAATAATAACAACAACAACAATAATAATTTACAACATCAAGCGGGTCTGAAATTTAGTATAGATAACATACTAAAAGCGGACTTTGGTAGAAGGATAACAGATCCGATTTCTTTAAAAAAATCAAGACCTAAGAAAACTTCCTCGAGACCTATAGATCTTACTAAAGACTTTTTGGAATCGTCTTCCGAAGGATCAGAAAGGAGTACTTTGGAAACTGTTACGACCAACGCAGCATCGCCCATTGGCGTACCTGCTGGTGTACCTACAACCAATCCAACTTCCAATCCACCTGGACCACCTTCTTCCGAACCAGGCAAACAGATGCTCTGGCCAGCCTGGGTCTACTGCACGAGATACTCCGACAGACCATCCTCTGGTGAGTTTTATATTTATTCTTTCACTCAATCCTTTATTATCAGTTCCCGTAATAAAACAGAAATATTTCTCTAATCCAACTAGAAACTATCACTTTTGCAAATTAAAAAATATAGGAGTAAAACATGTTTAGATACATATTACCAATTTTTTAGGTATGAGTTTTTAATTTTTAAGAATTTATCTAGAATATTCTTTTATAATTTAGTGTTTATATAATTGCGAATTGATAGCAATATACTGCAATATGTTTAAATTAGGCAAAAATTGTATGTTTGTAGAGTCAAATTAATAATGTTTATTCATATTTTGCAAGTTTTATTTACGAATTTTGAAATTGTAATCGAATCGTAAATACGTCTTGTCTATAATTCATAGAAAGTTATGGTTCCTAATTGATTAAAATACTCAAAATCAACTTACTAAAATATCAATATTTTTTTCGTTTCAACAAAACACATAAATGATATTATCAAATCCAGTACGAAACAAAATTTTACGTATTAATACAAACTAACCCTAAACATATTTACTCTTAATTTCGACAATCGCAGTGTGATCAAATAATTCCCAATTAAATTAGAAAAAAAATACCATTCCTTTTGAAGAACCAGATGGCAATTAAAATAAAACAAAAATCCCATAATCTCAACCGAAGATATTCATATCTTTGGACCCTTAAAATTGTTATCGGATCGTGTCTACGTCTCGTCCATAATATATAGAAAGCCACGTTTTCTAATTGGTTACGATACACACAATCAGCTACTGGAGTTTTGCGATCCGATCGTTATCTTCGTCAGATCCTTCTTGTTCTTTTTTTCTCTTCTATCCCTCTCTCTCTTTCTCTCTTTCTTTCTGTCTATAACTCTTTAATAAACTTCAGCCGACTTGTTTGGGCTACCAAGTTATATACACACACATAAACAAACACACACTTTACTTAAATACAAATACATGCATACCTATATATGTATATATACATTTATCCATATCTACATACCTAAGCCTATTACATCGCGTGGCTGTAATTTCGCGAGGATGGATGGTCTTTACGAGTGACACGAGAAAACGTGTAATTACTTTGACTACTCGACTCAACTTGACTCGACTCGACTAGACTCGACTCGACTCAACTCAACTCGAGACTCACAGCGTGGCAACTTGATGAATAGCAGAAACGTTTCTTCGTCGCGTCTCCTTTGCTCTTCTCTGATCTACGTTTCGCGCATTGTCGTGTGAACAATCGGTTAAAGTGTTAAACGTTCCTAGAGAGAAGAACCTTATTTCCACGTCTCACGAAAATTTTCTTACTTTTCTAAACTAAATTTTCTCTCTATCACATCTCACATCAATTGAATCTCCTTTTTGTTTTATTTTTCCTTCTTTTTTTTTCTTTTTTTTTTTTTTAACGAAACAGGAACTTAATACACGACAAGGTTTTCTCCTTAATAGGATTATTATTAACGTATCTCCTCGTCAGGTGTTGTTAATTTAGTATAAGATAAAATCGATCTTCAATTACTCGCCGAGTTATACGGATTATCGCGATTGGTTGTACGTAAAATAATTGCACAGTTTTAACTCTTTAAAACGTATGTAATTTCTCTACGTTTATACACCATGAATCACCTAACTTGATTACCTCGAATAATTTCTTTAATTGTACAATTGATAAATTAACTTTTTCTTTTTCTACGAGAATCATGTGATATTAAAAAGGACATAATATAGTGTACATGATTTCTTGTTTATTTATTTAAGTGAATCTGTCCGAGATTCGAAGGTCATCTTGGGTTTTTTTATTTTTTTAAATAGAATACTCTATTTTTTTAATCACTATTTTTCTCCAAGTAAAACAAATAGTATTAAACTTCGTTGCAATTAAAGTTGATTATCAACGAGATTATGAACATATTTATTAACGATTATTTATTGTTGAGGAAATCGAATTAAGTTTTTTCATTGTTTAAATACTTCATATAGATAAATATTATAATAAAATATAAGAGAAAGTGGATAGAACGTAAAAGACGTAGTAACAATCTTTCACCGTAATAAAGCAGATAATCAAATTTATATTTGTACAAAGCTTAATTTTTTACAACGCTCCAATTTTCGATTCGTCATGTATCCTTTCTCTAAATCACATGTGTATTTATATCTCGTACCCAGTTCGTTAGGTTGAAAAGCATGACCTAACTTTAAATTTCTAAATTACTGTTATTGCTCAATTTTGAGGCAATCCTAACAATTTAAAAAATACACACATTTATAAGTATTTACAAATTTTAGCCGTTAGCCTAATATAGCCTAGAATCTTTTATAAGTTGTAAATTATCTTTCAATATATATAGATACAATTTATAAATACACACACATACAAGCGCATATGCATATTAATATAAATATACCAATACAAGAAATGTATATCAAACTATTAACAAATGCAAATAATATGTTAAAACGATTAAATTTAATCACTATAATAGCATGTAACTAGTCATAGATCGTGCCAAGTTCATCGATATCATCGGAAAAAAAACCGATACACACGTTGGTGGGAAATTTGTTGCAGTGGTGTAGGTGGAAATACTTTAGCGTGATTGACGAAAGGATTATTGGTATATGTATTTACGCGTATGTGTGTATCTTTATAAAGGATAAAGTGTTAGTAGAATTATGATAGGGAGGTTGGTTTACTCGGTGTCGTCGATGATCGTTCGAGTAATTAGCCGGAAGAACTATTAACTATTATATGTTTGTAATTTGATGATTCGTGCGCATAATGAGAGGATTCTCTTTGCTTGAAAGCCGACATACTCGGACACTTACTTCGAGTACCCATATCGCGCCTTTCACACGACCGTAATTCGCAATTAAAGTTGTTTTGTAAGATAGGAGAGATGAAGTTAAACGTCTTCTACGAGATCTTTCAACGTATGCCTATATAACATTGAATACGAAAATAGAAATCAATTGAATTTTATTTTATTTTCCTTATCTCAAAGACTGTTGATCATTTTTAAATATTTTTTGTATTTTTATTTTTATTTAATATTATTTATATTTTATTTTTTAATATAATTTCGTTTAAAAATAATACTTAATATTTTTCTCTGCATAAATAAATAATAATATTTCATATACTAAAAATTCTAACTATTTATATCTATTTTCAAAGTTAAATATATTTTTGCATTAGGAATCAAATAGAAATAAATAAAAAAGTGATTCCATTTAGGTTTATTTTATTCATTCGCGTTTTACAGCTTGAAACACGTTGATGATTCGTACGCTGTTACGATTTTTATGTTTTCTTTTCCTGAAGGAAATATTATTAAATAGGAATGAATCTTGATAAGGGTTCTCAACAGTTATTTTATAGTATATTAAGTTTTTCAGAATAAAGTAAGCAATTATGATGATAATAAAATTGTTTTACATTATCAAAGATAGAAAAGGAAAGATACAAAAAGTATGATAAAGAAAAAAAGAGAAAGAGAAAGAGAGAGAGAGAGAGAGAGAGAGAGAAATGTTCGTGTATTTAAATGCAGAAAAAAAAGTTTATTAACCTTGGTTGTTAGAATATAAAAATCATCTTTCCTAACGACGACGTATTTAATGATACCTATTTAAGAATTATCATCCTTCTTGTAGGTTAGCATCAATATGTTTGTATTATCGTACATTGTCAGCAAAGTTTCTTCAGAAAATTCTTTTTTTAATATTTTTTTTACAAAAATATATAAACGATTGTTATCGGAATTGTCGCACGATTTCATTAGAATTGGTAAAATTTGTTGAAAAGAATAAACAAAAGAGAAGAAAAACGACTGAAACATCTCTAATATAAATTTCTATTTAAAAATATTATTAGCAATTAATAAAAAAAGAAAAAAAAACAAATTAGATACACTAGTAAGAATTTATGTTCGTGCGTCGGAATAGAACAAAATTTTTGCAAACGAAACTGAAGACACCCTGTATATAACCAATTTTTTTTTTTTTTAATACAATTATTCGAAACAATTGAAAAATAATACAAATTTACGTTCAATGATACGAATTTATGTTCAAGAGTGTCATATAATGCGCATTTAAGATTAATTATTTAAATCTAATTAGGTATGTCATTTATTTAAGACTCTAGAGAAATTGTTCTTTTTGCACTCTTATTCTTTATCTTTCTTTCTCTTTTTCTTGAGTATGTTACGGATCCACCAAATTAGCATCGATCGGACTGTAAATGTCTAATCGTGATTTATGGCTCAAGGGGAAACACAAGATCGCTGATTTGTTCGAACGAACACGTGTATCATACGTAAGGTATATAAATGCTATTATATGAATATCTATACATTTATATGTGTGTGTTTGTGTTCGAGTATATGTAGATGTATATTGTACTCAAGAGATTCTGGCAACATCATTGCACAAACGTCAGGACTTGTCAAGCAACGAAGTACTTAGAACGAACAGGCGTGTGCCATTGTACTCGAGTTTATCAACGATACTCTTGTTAAATAGATGATTTATCTACTATTTGGTTAATTAAAGAATAAAAAGAAATTATAATTGAAGTGAGATATTTATTGTTAGAGAAACAATTTATTATTATTGTTACAGTCATTGTTTAAAGGTACTCATAAAAATTAATTTAATAATCTTATCTGTTAGGAAATTTTAATTATAATATATTATTTTATTGGTTATTTATTTATTTATTTATTTATTATTATTATTATTACTATTATTATTATTATTATATTAGTTTTGTTTTTCAAGGAATTCTTTTGAACATGTTTAATTATTGAGAATAATCAGAGCGCGAGAACAACAATTGAAAAAAATGTGCTTTGCATTTTTACTCGAAAATCTATCATCGATAATCATACATTTAAATTTCTAGTTATTTGAGGTGGGTGGGAGAGGAAGGAAGATGTGAGGATGGTTAAAAAGTGTTAGGATAATATTATTCAAAGAAATTTATTGAAAGTA